TCAGCTGACAAAGGCAATGCTACTGTTATCATGGATAAAATAGAATACAACAACAAAATTAAAGAATTACTCGACGATGGTAGTTATACAAAAATAAAAAGAGATCCCACCAACAGCCTCGTCACACAAACCAACAAAATAATTTCTGATTCAACCGCATTAATTGATCAATCTAAACAGTTTTCGTTGAAACCTTCTGCTGCCAGGCCACCAAGATTATACGGCTTACCAAAAATACATAAAGTTGATACACCTCTTCGTCCCATAGTCTCTACTATCAGCTCCCCCACCTACAAACTAGCTCGTTTTTTTGTCTGAAATCCTGCGTCCTTTCACTGGAAAGACCACCTCTGCGGTACAAAATTCTACTCACCTGGTATCAACAATCAAGGGTATTTCCCTGTCCCCAGACGACCTGCTTGTCAGTTTTGATGTAGTTTCCTTATTCACCAAGGTTCCTGTACCTGACACCATTGCAATCATTGAAGACTTGGTTCATCAAGGACTAAACACTGAGGTACCCCCCCTGGTGAGACACTGTTTAACCAATACATATTTCACTTGGAATGGAACTTTCTACAAACAAACTGAGGGCACCCCAATGGGCTCCCCCCTTTCTCCAGTTATAGCTAACATTTTCATGGAGAAATTTGAGACTGACGCCATCCAGACTGCCACTCTGCGCCCAACCTTATGGAAGAGGTACGTGGATGACACTTTTGTCATCTGGCCACATGGCCGGCCTGCTCTAGACAAATTCTTCGACCACATCAATTCCATACACCCAGCCATCAGATTTACCATGGAAGTCGAAATAGATGGCAAGATACCTTTTTTGGATGTCCTAATTAAAAAGAGACCTGATGGTTCAATGAGCCACTCTGTCTACAGGAAAGCTACCCATACGGATGCTTATCTGAAACCGGATTCCCACCACCATCCATCACAGAAGAATTCTCTCATCAAGACTCTGTATCATAGAGCCCAATGCATATCCGACCAGGAACACATAAGCAGTGAACTCAAGCACGTACACCAAGCTCTTAGGGCTAATGGTTACTCCGACTATACAATCCGCAAAGCTATCACTCAAACCATGAAGAAGAACCCTCTTGAGGAGCCTTTCAAAACCATCACTTTACCCTACATTGCTGGGATCACAAAAAAGATCTCCAAAATCTTGAATAAACACAAGATCCAGGTCCGTTTCAACACATTACATAAAATCCGTGATCTGGTTCCGTCTGTAAAAGATGTGATTCCGGACATACAATACCCTGGTGTCTACAAACTAAGTTGCCTCTGTGGTAGTAGTTACATTGGAGAAACCAAACGCCATATCTCGGACCGCATTCGTGAACATAAAGCAGACCTTAAACACGGTAGGACCAACACCTCGGCCGTAGCAGATCATTGTTCTAATTCAGTAGGCTCACATGCCATTGACTTTTCCAAGACGGAGGTTCTTTGTAAGCCATCTGGCTTCCATGAGAGATTCGTTCATGAGGCTATCCACATATACAAACACAGAGACAATTTCAACCGAGAAGATGGATTCTATCTTAGCAATCATTGGAAAGATTTGATAAATCATTTCAGTTCTTGATTGATTGTTCACGCTTACAGTGCCTTTCAGACAGCATACATAAAAACAAATTTCGTCTCCCCCCTCCTCTTTTCAAAAAATAGATGGACTAGTCCTGGCAAACTGCCATCGTTGCGCGTGACGCAAACGTTATTTTTATATATATAAATAAATATGCCGTTTTCAAAATAAATTTATGCAAACCGACACACCTGATGATGACCGTTTGAGTTATGGTCGAAACGTCGTGAGAATTTTTTATTGTTTTATATATATTTTGTTGTTTCTCTTCAACGTTACTTTACCGAAAAAACTAATAATATGAATTACTGCAGTCACGAAAGCTTTAAATCAAAATTTAATCGCCTCTACGGGGAGGGTTTTCACATAACTTTAAGATCTTTCAACAAACTCCGGGATAAGAAAGCTCAGCTGATCGAGTCTCTCACCTTCCTGAAGAGATGCCGCGACTCTGGGGTAATACCAATCGCATTTACACTCACCTCTGCTACTGTAACTTCTTCTAATGCGAAACGAATTCTTTTCAAAACTAGCTTAGCTCTTATCTCAGAAAAAATCAGACTTATACGCACAGAACTAGATCAGTTAGACAAGACACTCTACAAATCACACTTATCATTGACGGCAATAATGTCCACATCGGATTGGGAACATGTAGACAATATGACTGCCTCTTCAGCTGCTACTATGTCGACCAAATGTAAGGAAAACCTGATTTCCAAATTTAACCTCCTCTTAAACAAAAGACCGGACCCACACACCAAAAAGTTAGACGTTAATAAAGTCGTAATTAATCGCAGTAACAGTTCTATTTCCGATGGTCTGAAATCCGTTTTAGCTAAAGGTCTAAACTTTGCAGTCACACCTAAACACATACCAGTTAATGATATAATTGCCCAAGTAGACGTTGCTCTCAGGGGCCTGGGTCACATCGCTGCAGACGTAGCAAGATCTGAAATCGCTGCAACCCTCAAAAACGCTAAGATGCCAGCTAGCAACCTCAGCAAAGATGAGCGTTTTGAATTATATAAATTAAAAAAGAGGAATGATATTGTAGTTCTCTCAGCTGACAAAGGCAATGCTACTGTTATCATGGATAAAATAGAATACAACAACAAAATTAAAGAATTACTCGACGATGGTAGTTATACAAAAATAAAAAGAGATCCCACCAACAGCCTCGTCACACAAACCAACAAAATAATTTCTGATTCAACCGCATTAATTGATCAATCTAAACAGTTTTCGTTGAAACCTTCTGCTGCCAGGCCACCAAGATTATACGGCTTACCAAAAATACATAAAGTTGATACACCTCTTCGTCCCATAGTCTCTACTATCAGCTCCCCCACCTACAAACTAGCTCGTTTTTTGTCTGAAATCCTGCGTCCTTTCACTGGAAAGACCACCTCTGCGGTACAAAATTCTACTCACCTGGTATCAACAATCAAGGGTATTTCCCTGTCCCCAGACGACCTGCTTGTCAGTTTTGATGTAGTTTCCTTATTCACCAAGGTTCCTGTACCTGACACCATTGCAATCATTGAAGACTTGGTTCATCAAGGACTAAACACTGAGGTACCCCCCCTGGTGAGACACTGTTTAACCAATACATACTTCACTTGGAATGGAACTTTCTACAAACAAACTGAGGGCACCCCAATGGGCTCCCCCCTTTCTCCAGTTATAGCTAACATTTTCATGGAGAAATTTGAGACTGACGCCATCCAGACTGCCACTCTGCGCCCAACCTTATGGAAGAGGTACGTGGATGACACTTTTGTCATCTGGCCACATGGCCGGCCTGCTCTAGACAAATTCTTCGACCACATCAATTCCATACACCCAGCCATCAGATTTACCATGGAAGTCGAAATAGATGGCAAGATACCTTTTTTGGATGTCCTAATTAAAAAGAGACCTGATGGTTCAATGAGCCACTCTGTCTACAGGAAAGCTACCCATACGGATGCTTATCTGAAACCGGATTCCCACCACCATCCATCACAGAAGAATTCTCTCATCAAGACTCTGTATCATAGAGCCCAATGCATATCCGACCAGGAACACATAAGCAGTGAACTCAAGCACGTACACCAAGCTCTTAGGGCTAATGGTTACTCCGACTATACAATCCGCAAAGCTATCACTCAAACCATGAAGAAGAACCCTCTTGAGGAGCCTTTCAAAACCATCACTTTACCCTACATTGCTGGGATCACAAAAAAGATCTCCAAAATCTTGAATAAACACAAGATCCAGGTCCGTTTCAACACATTACATAAAATCCGTGATCTGGTTCCGTCTGTAAAAGATGTGATTCCGGACATACAATACCCTGGTGTCTACAAACTAAGTTGCCTCTGTGGTAGTAGTTACATTGGAGAAACCAAACGCCATATCTCGGACCGCATTCGTGAACATAAAGCAGACCTTAAACACGGTAGGACCAACACCTCGGCCGTAGCAGATCATTGTTCTAATTCAGTAGGCTCACATGCCATTGACTTTTCCAAGACGGAGGTTCTTTGTAAGCCATCTGGCTTCCATGAGAGATTCGTTCATGAGGCTATCCACATATACAAACACAGAGACAATTTCAACCGAGAAGATGGATTCTATCTTAGCAATCATTGGAAAGATTTGATAAATCATTTCAGTTCTTGATTGATTGTTCACGCTTACAGTGCCTTTCAGACAGCATACATAAAAACAAATTTCGTCTCCCCCCTCCTCTTTTCAAAAAATAGATGGACTAGTCCTGGCAAACTGCCATCGTTGCGCGTGACGCAAACGTTATTTTTATATATATAAATAAATATGCCGTTTTCAAAATAAATTTATGCAAACCGACACACCTGATGATGACCGTTTGAGTTATGGTCGAAACGTCGTGAGAATTTTTTATTGTTTTATATATATTTTGTTGTTTCTCTTCAACGTGACTTTACCGAAAAAACTAAGAATATGAATTACTGCAGTCACGAAAGCTTTAAATCAAAATTTAGGTTATATATTATTATTTTATTGTTTTCCCTTCAACGTGACTTTAGCGAAAGAACCAAGAATATGAATATAGGTTTTATATATATTATTATTTTATTGTTTTCCCTTCAACGTGACTTTACCGAAAGAACCAAGAATATGAATATAGGTTTTATATATATTATTATTTTATTGTTTTCCCTTCTACGTGACTTTACCGAAAGAACCAAGAATATGAATAGGTTGTATATATATTTTATTATTTTATTGTTTTCCCTTCAACGTGACTTTACCGAAAGAACCAAGAATAAGAAGCAAGAATAAGAACCAAGAATAAGAACCAAGAATAAGAATATAGAATATGAATAAAGGTTTGTAACCGTTAAGGGCCGGCGCGGTTGCCATGGTCGCCGCCGCGTCGTCGCCATGACAACGACGCGGCGGCCCCGTCACGCTGCGCAATGGCGGAGGAGGAGGTGGAGGTGGCGCGTGAGGGCGAGCCCCGAGCGGCGACTTTGTTGACGGTTCTTCAAGAGCGACTGAGACCATTGAACCAGGTCCGTGAAGGTCAACTCGAACTGTACAGGATACACACACACACATACACCCGGTCGATCGGATCGCACGAACACACCACGCACACGCGCGCGCGTACGCCCCCTGCTCGCCCTTGTCCGCCACCGCACACGCAAACTTCGCCCTTGCTACGCATCGACGACGCGAGTCGCCGTTCTCTCTTCTCTTTCTCGTCGCGGCCCCGGGTAGTTCCAGTGCCGGATGATCCGAGTAGCACAAGTAGCTACTACATGTAGTAGTAGCCACTATATATCCTAATTTCGATCGGATCATTGGGGTTTATTAGTAATACATCGGCATTTTGCGACCCCCCCCCACTGCCAATGTGTAGCATATTATTACGTGCCAGGGACTCTATGAGATGGTAGGACAATTGTCTGAGTCCATAATTGGCAATAAGTAACGGCAAAGCAGTTATAAGTGACTCAGAATTGTGCGCCATCGCCACAAACGCGTCAAATAAAAAGCAAGGGACAAGTCCTTACTTTCTAACAACTCCTCTATCATATTCTTAGTTTTTTTCGGTAAAGTCACGTTGAAGAGAAACAACAAAATAACAAAATATATATAATGCAAACCGACACACCTGATGATGACCGTTTGAGTTATGGTCGAAACGTCGTGAGAATGTTTTATTGTTTTATATATATTTTGTTATTTTGTTGTTTCTCTTCAACGTGACTTTACCGAAAAAACTAAGAATATGAATTACTGCAGTCACGAAAGCTTTAAATCAAAACTCCTCTATCATTTTTAGTATTCACCATCACAGTGCATTTCGGCCTCTAGAAATACTGAGTGTTTTTTTACCGAATTCGCATACCTGTAAACCTCCTTATCAGTGCCCTTACCTTATTACAGACCAATTCAGACCTTATTGGTCACCCCGTGCCCCTTGTGAATCTTGACGTTCATCCTACAAAGTCTCATCACAAGGGAGAGAAACACAAACACAGTTTTTTGCCCGTATTAAAACGGCTGTACGTCGTAAGGACCTCAAAACTTAATTTCCCTGTACAACAATACGGGTAAACCGTATAGGTTGACATTTTTGGTGTCAACCCCTGACCTAGGCTTATTGAGAAATGTCCCGGTTTGATATGTGGGAAAAGTGGCAACCCCAGCACTCTCTCACCCACTCATCCACTTCATGCATCCACTGATTCACTCACCTTCTCAATCATCCACCACGAACGGTTGCCACTCGTCCGGGATTGACCCGGATAGCTGGTCATTGATCTTATCTGTGGACGGTATTTGAAACTCAGGTCACCGCGTCCATTATTCTTTTTTTACTCTGCTCGTTTAAACAGGAAAGCCTCACTGAGTCTCATTGCTCTCTTTCTGGTGAGTCATTCAGGTATTAGCAGGAGGGGACAACGATTATTGCTCTATAATCCCAATTCAGTAACCTGCGGCTATTTTTTTTACTTAGCAAATTTGAACCATGACTCCGACATACAAAGGCCCCTACTCTTGCGAACGGCGCCATTATGATAATTAATTTTCGATTTAAAGCTTTCGTGACTGCAAGGATTCATCTTCTTTGGTTCTTTCGGTAAAGTCACGTAGAATGAGAATAAAATAATAAATTAATAAAATAACACAATTAAATTCTCACGACGTTTCGGCCACAACGCTGGAGCGCTGTCCTCCAGACAGTCTCGTCCCTTCACCTGATGAAGGCCACTTGTGTTGTGGCCGAAACGTCGTGAGAATTATATTGTGTTATTTTATTAATTTATTATTTTATTCTCATTCTACGTGACTTTACCGAAAGAACCAAAGAAGATGATCATTAATGTCCACTGTGAAACAGACGGCTCCTATACTGCACCAGATATATATTCTCTGGTCACCTAATAAAGCCGCAGTATTAATCAGGGCGGCCGCTGGAATAAAAACTGTGAGCCTCTGTGAACCAGCGGCCAACGCGCTACCTCTGTTCTATGTGACCACCCACATCTGCGGTGCGCTAACCACGGCGCCACCGCTCTACCCCTCAACGCTGTTCTGCATTTGGAGAAAATGGACCAAAATTGCCTTTCTCTAAACATGGCCGGTGATGATTATCAAGCCCTATTAATCCACCGGGCTATCTTGAATCGCCATTGAACAACGTGTTTACTCTGGGGAGGTAAACACACATCAGCGGGAGGGAAAGAAAACGAAGAGTAGGAAAAACAAACTATGCACGTGAGTCACGTACTCCACGTGCATAATGACCGTGCCGTTCTCTCCGATGTGCGTGACCGACGTTTCGCTCGTCTTCCGAGGTCTGCTACGAGATAGGGGGCACGTTCAGGGTGATGGGAGGGGGGGTGCTTCCCACCCAACACGTGCAGCAAAACGTCGGACATCACGCCGAACACAACTTTGGTACAAGCCAAAATAACACATGGATGGGTTAGTTGCATGGACTGCAAAAACAGCCAACACATACGCAGTGATAATGCCCTTACCCAGGAATCGGGATCAGAATATGTATTTATACTGGAGGAATCGATGAGCTATAAAAGCTCTCTTTCACAGACGTCCAGTATTTCACAGATGTCCAGGAAAGCCTCATGGAGTCCTGCGACTTTTCCCCAGATGGCTCCTGCTGCTGCTACCCCTGTAAACGTGGAACGTTGGGTCAACGTCGGGCCCAACGTTCCAACCACATGCCAAGGTCGGGCCCAACGTTGCACGTTTCGTGGCACATTTGCATGTTTTCCCAATTACGTGAATTGTAGTTTGGTTTCACGTGGCAGGAAACGGGAGCGCTTGGGAGAAAACCCACCGCACACAACACGCACTGAAAGTTCCGCACAGATCTATTCAATAATTTTCTCTATTAACATCTGCCCATATTACAGTCCAAGCCAACAATACCTGTTCTAATCAGGCGAGATCTCCCTTGGAAGTAATTAAGCAGGCTCAACTTTTGCTTGTGTTCCAAAGTATGGCAAGGCATAGAGCGCATTCAGGATTATCTGGGCGCAGGCCAAATATAATAATTGAGCGGTTAGTTAATAAAGGCTAAAGAAGGGAGGCGATGGGACTATTAGTACTGGTTTATACGCATGCCAGACCATCTGTGACAGCAAATATCCACACAAAGACAAAGTTTCCCCCTATAGCCTTAACATACTGTTGGGGTAATTGCTGTGAGCGAGCACCTATGAACGCCGGAATGGCACACAAGAGGATGGTGTAGCCAGCACTACATATGACCACCTTTTTCTCCACAGTGGTGATGTTTAGATTTCGCACCAGATACTCATTTGAGGCTTAGTCGATCTAGGGGGAGGCCCAGGACCGGTTCAGATAATCGCCACTGATGTTGGGCGTAAGCATGAATCGAATTCGGGTCCCCTGGTTTTGTAGCGCATTGCACTAACCGCTGCACATACACACTACATATAGTTGGTTTAACACGTAGGCATAAGATGTTTTTGAATTAGATCGCGTACATATAAATGTGTCGTTAAACCTGCCACCACCGTACACATCTAATTAAAGTTTGTCACGTAAACAAAGGGTGCTAATTAGTTACTACTTCAGCACACCGGTGTCACGTTTTGTTTACGTGACAAACCTTACTAATTGACTGTGTCGGGTGGTGGCGGGTTTAACGATACATTTATATTCAGGCGATCTAACCCAAAAAAACCTCTTTGGGACACTACAAATATACACAACACACCTGCACAATCAAGAGCACACCAGCAGGCACTCGAGGTAGTACGCTCTTCTGTGTGATCGTTGTGCCGCATGAAAGCGCAGCTCAACCCACACAAATCCCTGCCAAGCGGTCACTATGTACAACAGACACACACACAGGTGGTGGCGGCGGCCTTTGTTTGCACGGTTAACAAAACAAAAAAAAACGGGGGCTGCCTGGTCCCCAACTCAGTCAGGTCTCATTACACGAAAGTCGGCGACTTGGAATTGGCACGCACGGCAGTCTTAAGTTGAAGTTACACGATCCAACGTTCCCTCCAATTCCCTACCGCATCCCGACTAGGCGATAGGGTTTTTTGTCGTTGTTTTAATCCGCATTGCTCCATTCATCTTAAGGGTGCAACACCCGTGCGAATAAAGTTGCGCGTGGGTCGGGCAACTCGAAGCAACTTCGTTGGGAGTCAACAAACCCTCATTGAAGAGTTGGTGGTCGGCTGTACAGTTGGAAGCGACTTCAGTTCTGCAGACACGCACGCTTACAAGAAGGACTTTACAAAAACGAGCCTTCCTCCTGCTGATCATCATCATCATCCTGCTCCTCCACTGTCACCGTCCGTCACACGCCGGCCACCCCCATGGCTCACAAGCCGACGAAGCCGCCGCCGCGGGACCACCACGCCGCCCCTGTGGCCCCAGCGGCGCTCAGGGGTAACCTGTTCGAGCGACTACTGGAACGGCGTGCCCTCCGGGCTCAAGGCAACGAGGCGGTGTGCGAGCAGCCCGCCCCAACAACACCACCACCACCACCGCTGCCGCCGCCACTACCACCGCCCGCTTTGTAAAACTTCTCTATAGTTCAGCTTTAGTTCTCTGCTCATTGGCAGAGAACGAAAGATCTTTGGCTCGGTTTACCTCCTTGTCACTCTTCTAAGGCTACCGCCACGTCTACTCTGCGTTTATTCACCCGTTTTGAGGAAGTGGGTCTGCCAGACTTGCTCTCTGTCACCTCGATCGAAGTCGACCACCGCACTGCCCTTCTCTTCCTGCCTCTTCCTCTCGTGCTGCTCGACATTGGAGTTCCCTTCCCATCGTCTCTTTTTCGCCAGTTCTTATAGCAACCTCGCTCGATTCAAGGAACGTATCAACACTTGTCTCTTGCAACTTCAAGAGTGCCGTTTGTTGTTGCCCACGTGGCATTTTAGGGAACTGTGCTCAGCAACTGTGATATAAGACATATAAAAAAACTCCTTCGATCCTGTCCGATCTTGAGCCTCCTCCTTCATTTCACTGTACATCCCCCTTCCTTCAAGTCGTTAAACGGCCTCAAACTTTCTCTGCCTATGGCCTCCTTCTCAACCGCCTCCCTTACAGACTGTCCTTCGTTGAGCTTCCTCCTCAGACAATTGCGTCCAGTCCACATATTCAGCCTTTTTTTCATTCTAAATTAAGCATCTCTCCTCCCCAACCTGCTCTCCATCTCTAACACCGCGACGGGTTTCAATTTTTCGCTAAGCGTTCGCCGTGGAACGTCGTGACGTGTAGCCACAATCGTAAGGAGAGGTATGTGTGTGTGTGGTGTGATGTCTTGGGTGTGTAATTATTTTCCCAAGTCGTTAACCCAGCTGAAATGATGCCCTGGTACCACAATACGAGTACTGAGAGTCGCGCGTGTCTTTTCGGCTGAGTGTTGTCAGTAGCACTTAGATTTCAAAATCACCTTTGGAATGCGCCCAATCTCGACGGATCTTGGAAGCAAGTAGGGTTTAAGCCTAGTTATCACTCGGCTGTGAGATGTTCCTGGGAATGCTAGGTGTTGTAAGTTTAGGGTGGTCATGTGCAACAATGTGATTTTGAATCTGTGGAAAGCTTATAAAAGTGCTACCTTCTCATATGTGCGTGCGTGTGTGCGTTGCGCTGTGAACCCGGCGATCCGAGTTCCATTTCCACTCACGACCAACACCAGTGACGATTACCTGAACCGGTTCTAGACCTCCCCTAGGTCGACTGACTTCAAATAGCACCTGGTTCGGTATGTGTAAACATCACCACTGGGGAGAGAAAGACAGTCAGGCATGGTGCTGGCCACCCCTCCCCCCCCCCGTGTGCCATTCCAACTTTAATAGGTGCTCGCTAACTGCACTTGCCCCAACAGTCTGTTTAACGCTATACGGGTGATCTTTATCTACGTAATTGTCTCGGGGTACTCCTCCCACACAACGTCAAACACTCATTGGTGGGATTGGACAAACTTTACGATGTGGCTGGACCCTCCTGAAAAAAGACTTGGGAGTCCTTAAGGATTTCCTGCACACATATACTGGAATACATTCAATGTATTGTACAGCTATAGTACATTATCGTCTTATGATTCGGAAATAATAGTTAAACACTTTCACTCGTGATGGATTCATCTGGCTTTGTTCACATAAAGAAGACCATTTATTTACACGTTATACTGCCACGCTTTTTCTTAAAAGCCATAATCTACGGCCGACAATTCCCGATAAGCGTAACAAGTGGCGCCACAGTGGCAAGATGTTCACTACCTCACTTGGTATGCAGGAGGTCGTGGGTTCGATCCGAACCATGACGCCTGCACATTTAGAAACATACGTTTAGAGTGTTTGGCTGTTATACGTTTCCACGTGATAAGCCGCTTCGTTGAGCTATTATTTGTGGCCAAGTCACTACTGAAAAATAGCTATATAGCTCATTGGGCCTTACCTGGTAAAATAAAAATAGTTTTCAGTTTTAAGTGGCTTTTGGAATCAAATTTTTAATACTTTAATGGCCATTATTTGAAACAGATGTGCAATTCAAATGCCAGTGTAATTGCAGGGCCCACACACATTTTTTCACAAAGCTTCGTCTGCGTGTCCGTGTTTTAATCGTAGGTCATCATCGTGATTTTTCTTTTTGTATCTTCACCCTGTTTGCTTTGGCAGAAGTCGCTGCTGCACCGCTTGATATATGTGGGGCAGCTCCACCCAGACCTGGCGGACAAGCGCGAGCTTGCAGGTACACGCAGCGCCCTGCTCACGGTGGGCAGGCAGCAAGTGGCCGATGAATCCGGCGGTTCTCAACTCCGGGGGGGAGGGGGTGGGGAGGAAAGCCGGGGGGCGCGCAGGCTACGGTATGGATATCGTGCAGGAGATATGTATGTATGTTGAACTTCTTTCGCACGGTACGTAGCTAACCGTGCTATTTGTAGGTGCGCGGGGGGGGGTTAACGTCCGTTATGATGACAAAACTAGTACACATTGTGACGCGAATGCCTCGCGAACACCACATGCAAATACACAACATGACACAAATTCCGACCACAAAACACTGACACATGACATTGCCCACATGCTTTACTAACACCACATAGATCTGAGGAGTGGAAGTGTGGTCTCTCTCTGTATTGTGACCTTAGTAACCGCTGGAGGGGGCGGAGGGGGGGGGGGAAAGGGGGACCAGTGGCCTTGATTGAGAGGCCGCAATACTAAATATGTTGAGAACCACTGGATTACGTAAGTGCGTATATATGTTGAACTTCTTTCGCACCGTACGTAGCCAACCGTCCGAATCAGAGGTGCGGGATTAAACAAAGGTCAAGAGGTCATGATGGCCAGGTGCCACTGATGTTACCTTTGAGATTGCTTCTTTGTGCGGCATCCCGCAGCTGTTGCACAACCCTGCAGCAAATGAAGATGCCACCCGACAGGCAAAGTAGCCCTCGTAGGCACGTGCCTGGGCTGGGTGTCACGAGGTGTGCGGTACGAGTTTGATTCGGAAGTGAAAAGCCACGCGGGAGTGTGCGTGGCACAGTTTGGCGCCAGCTATCACAGAGTGCGGCGGTCGTGTCGCCACGGTTCTCTGCGGTGAGCACGGCGTCTTTACAAACAGCGGTGCTACGCCTCTCGAAATGAAATTAACGACGAGCCGCTTGCGCATTCCGAGATTCAGGGGAAAGGTTAATGTTTTTCTCAGTCTGGCCTGCATAGAGTCGTCGGGACAGTACTACTGGATCATGTACTACTTCCTCCGATTAACACGGTTGGCTACGTATAGTATCAAAGAAGTTCAACATACATCCATCAATTATTAGAGTCAGCCCGAACTTTTTGCTTAAGAAACTGGGAGAATAGAGTCGGTGTACTTTAAACTTGACATGGGCTTAGCCTAAATTTTGATTAAAAGCTTTCGTGACTGCAGTGATTCATATTCTTGGTTCTTTCGGTAAAGTCACGTTGAAGGGATGATGACTGCTTGCAACACAAGCAGTCATCATCAGGTGTGAAAACCAACGTCGTGAGAATTTTATTGTTTTATATGTATTTTATTATTTTCTTGGTTCCCTTCAACGTGACTTTACCGAAAGAACCAAGAATATGGGCTTAGCCTATTTGAACTTAATCTTAAATTAATGCCCGGTCTTATAACACCGGGAATATGGTGACCGTTCAAGTTTCAACACACAGAAAAAAACAACCGCTTGCGAAATTGAACAAAACTTTGGAGACTTAAATTTGCAGTGTTTGTAAAAGAAACACAATTCTCAAAAAGTGCTGCACTTTATGGTCGTCGTTAAACCGCCGTAAACACGCTCCGCCTGGGAGGTGACCTGAAAGAGGGCATAGGCTCACAACTAGTTTCAAGGCATTTTTTTACTAATACGGTAATAGTGATGGCAGTAAATCACTCTCAAATGTTGGATCTTCTATGGAAAATATTTGGCAGCGCTTAAGCAAACACCCAGATGTCCTGTAAAAAAATACATTATGTTCATAAAACTAGATATTGTAAAATTGGAATGAAGACAATTGTGCGCACAAAACATTGTATTAATCCATTGGAAATATGAAATATTAAGAAACAATGCCTTTAGAAATTGTCAGTAAAGGATGTTATGGTTAAACTGCAACTTACAAACCCAATACAACATGAAACCTGAATTCCCTATGGTATCATTACCATGCATTGACCTTAACAGTGAGTGTGCTGTGTGCCTGCCTACGATGCAGACTGTTATTAATATTAATAGGTTGCTTATGTTGGAGTTCGCTAAGGCGGTATTCACTCATGCGGTGGTGTTAATTACAATGTCTGGGACCAGTTTCCAGACATTCATGGCAAGTTTGCGTGCTAATTATTTTGACAGTACATTGCGAAAGCCATGCTTGTACAGTGAGGGAAAAAAGTATTTGATCCCCTGCTGATTTTGTACGTTTGCCCACTGACAAAGAAATGATCAGTCTATAATTTTAATGGTAGGTTTATTTGAACAGTGAGAGACAGAATAACAACAACAAAAATCCAGAAAAACGCATGTCAAAAATTTTATAAATTGATTTGCATTTTAATGAGGGAAATAAGTATTTGACCCCCTCTCAATCATAACGATTTCTGGCTCCCAGGTGTCTTTTATACAGGTAACGAGCTGAGATTAGGAGCACACTCTTAAAGGGAGTGCTCCTAATCTCAGCTTGTTACGTGTATAAAAGACACCTGTCCACAGAAGCAATCAATCAGATTCCAAACTCTCCACCATGGCCAAGACCAAAGAGCTCTTCAAGGATGTCAGGGACAAGATTGTAGACCTACACAAGGCTGGAATGGGCTACAAGACCATTGCCAAGCAGCTTGGTGAGAAGGTGACAACAGTTGGTGCGATTATTCGCAAATGGAAGAAACACAAAAGAACTGTCAATCTCCCTCGGCCTGGGGCTCCATGCAAGATCTCACCTAGTGGAGTTGCAATGATCATGAGAACGGTGAGGAATCAGCCCAGAACTACACGGGAGGATCTTGTCAATGATCTCAAGGCAGCTTGGACCATAGTCACCAAGAAAACAATTGGTAACACACTACGCCGTGAAGGACTGAAATCCTGCAGCGCCCGCAAGGTTCCCCTGCTCAAGAAAGCACATATACATGCCCGTCTGAAGTTTGCCAATGAACATCCGAATGATTCAGAGGACAACTGGGTGAAAATGTTGTGGTCGGATGAGACCAAAATGGAGCTCTTTGGCATCAACTCAACTCGCCGTGTTTGGAGGAGGAGGAATGCTGCCTATGACCCCAAGATCACCATCCCCACCGTCAAACATGGAGGTGGAAACATTATGCTTTGGGGGTGTTTTTCTGCTAAGGGGACAGAACAACTTCACCGCATCAAAGGGACGATGGACGGGGCCATGTACCGTCAAATCTTGTGTGAGAACCTCTTTCCCTCAGCCAGGGCATTGAAAATGGGTCATGGATGGGTATTCCTGCATGACAATGACCCAAAACACACGGCCAAGGCAACAAAGGAGTGGCTCAAGAAGAAGCACATTAAGGTCCTGGAGTGGCCTAGCCAGTCTCCAGACCTTAATCCCATAGAAAATCTGTGGAGGGAGTTGAAGGTTCGAGTTGCCAAACGTCAGCCTCGAAACCTTAATTACTTGGAGAAGATCTGCAAGGAGGAGTGGGACAAAATCCCTCCTGAGATGTGTGCAAACCTGGTGGCCAACTACAAGCAGCGTCTGACCTCTGTGATTGACAACAAGGGTTTTGCCACCAAGTACTAAGTCATGTTTTGCAGAGGGGTCAAATACTTATTTCCCTTATTAAAATGCAAATCAATTTCTAACATTTTTGACATGCGTTTTTCTGAATTTTGTTGTTGTTATTCTGTCTCTCACTATTCAAATAAACCTACCATTAAAATTATAGTCTGATCATTTCTTTGTCATTGGGCAAACGTACAAAATCAGCAGGGGATTAAATACTTTTTTCCCTCACTGTACTTATGAAACATAACATAATAATTCACAGCCCTTTGTCAATCTGCTTTTGGATGAAGCCTCCCTTACACCATTTCAGTCATGGGGATGGTTTGACCATACGACACCACGCTGGTCATCGTGTGTTCGTGAAGGGGGGGCTGCAGGACTTGTTCAGATGTAACTCTCCTCTGGTGTGCGTCGTGGCCTTGAAATCGAACGCCAACGCCGGGTTCACAGTGCAGTGCGCGAACCACTGCACCCACCGCTCCCCCATGCTTAGAATGATCTGTCCTACCAGTTGGAGCTCAGAGTAAAACTTATCTTTGCGCAAAAGAACAACGGAGCGACACCCTCTGTTGACGGCTCTGAGACGGTGGTGGAAATTCCATCGGTAGGCACGTTATCCATAGGGCAGCCACTGCTTATACAATTTTGGGAGGAAATCGCCGACACACCAATGTGAGCGGCCAACACTCTATCCCACACAGAAGGGACGGATAATATTGATCCCAACTTTGCTGCACGGCCTTCTCCCGGTGAGCCAGGGTACATACTGCACGTCCCCGACGTCCACAGGGAGTTCCACAATATTTGTTACTGTTATCTACCAACCCACACTGCTGCTTCCACCGTGCTGGATTGCAGGGCACGTGCAGCAGCACAGCCAACACCGCCCCCCGGGATGATCATAAGGCAGGTTTTTTTTTTTGTGGCATAACCATCTCCGCCCGATTTCAGTCTTTTGGACCACTCGAGGAGCCTCTGGCTGGTATCAAGTTTCAAAGTGGTGAGGATGCAAAATTGATGTCCTTAAATGGTGGCGTAAAACGTTCTCAAGAATTATGTGCTTCAGGCATTCAGTTGTTGCAACAGAACCCATGAGACAAATAAATTAAGAATATAAAACAAGATAAATACCTTGAAAAATAGGATTCGCGTGACATCATACAGTTTGTATGTATCTTATTTCGCACCGTATGTAGCCAACCCTGCGAATCGGAGTTGCGGGCGAAGGACAACAAACTAAACACATATCAGTTCTAAAGAAGTTATTTTTCATCTAAATGATTTAAAAGGAAGCTAGAGCGTTCCAGACGGCCGCAAAAACGCATCTGAAAGCGTGCGATGCAGTGGCCGTCTTTATTCGAGTCTGCGAATGCAGTCTGGGTCGTGCATCGATGCATTCCTCTCCCTGGCTGTTTAACATCCTGTCGACTACGACTGTGCACATGTTTGTTTACATTTTATTACTATTATGATTTGTAAATACATTGTACATGTGCACACCGTGATCGCAGCGTGCTAAATTGTGATAACCCAATACGTCTCCGTGATCTTAAGCCGAACTCTGCACCGAGAGCCTTCGAGAAAGGTAGAATACCTAAACGCAAATGCGCGTTTTGGCCAGATTGAAGCATTTAACTTGCACCGAAGACAAAGAGCCCCCGTATAGCCTGGACAGACTGTCGGAACAAGTGCTGCTAGTGAGCCGGAACAGCACACGATGGGATGGGAGTGGGTTTCCAGCATCACGTCCAGCCGCCTTTGTCTCTGGAGTGGTGATATTTACAGACCACACCAGGTATTAATTTAAGGCTGAGTCAACCTAAGGGAGGCCCAAGAACCGGTTCAGATAATCGGGAATCAAACTTGGGTCGCCCGGTTCGTAGCGCAGCGTGCTAACCGCTACACTTTTTTTACCACCACCACCCACGCCCTCCCCCCCCCCACCACCACTCTGCAAGGTTAACACACCGTGGAACTCGATGACAATTACAATATGCCGAGAGTGATCTCTTTCTATTTTTCTGCGTGTACCGCAATGGCCTCCCTCCCTCCCGTGTGTCTCTCCTGCTCTGGGGCCAGAGTATTACGAGCGGCTGTTTGCTCGACTGCACAAGCACCACCAGGGCGAGGCGGCCTATGGCCTGCTTCTCATCTACCCGACGGCCGTCATCCACACCGTCGAGGTCAGAGCCCCTTGTGGCACCGTGAGAAAAATATTTGTCCTGGGCCGCTCGCGAGGCCGAGAAAATTGTGAGTGGGGGGGGGGGGAGTAGTGAGAGTGCGAGGATGGGGGGCCTCTAGCAAGTGGGTGATGATTCAGCACTACGCTGACTGCCCCGGTGCGGCTCTTTCCTGCAATATTAGAGGAAAACGCAACTCCCCTCCGACCAATGCTCCCCTCTCGCTCCCTCTCGCCCAGGGCATTCCAGCGTTGTCCGTCGCAAAATTGAGCGCCGCGTAAAATGCTTTAAAGTCAGAATTGGCCACGCGGATCGAGCGCTACAGCAATGGCACGGCAATGTTACTACCGTGCGTTTTAAACGCACCGGCCCGATTATGAGAGCACTGCGATGGGGTAACTGATTGTGAATTGAGAGTCGGTTCATTTCCCTTGTTAACAAAGGTTACGTTTGCACAGCCCGGGACACATGGCCTTCGGTGTGCACCTAGAAGATGCGGGCGATGTATTTTGCTGGGTTGCGCCTTCCTTTTAAGGCATAAAACTAGAGGCGTGTAAGCCCCCGGTAGGCTACCGCATCGTTAAGGGAAAAAAAAATTGCTCACCGATGTCTTGTCGTGCCACGGGTTCTTCGGCGCAAGGTCCGACGTTTTGCTCCAAGTGCTGGGAGCTACTTTAAGAAACCGAATGGAGCAGCTCGATTTCACACCGACGGTACGAGCGCTGCTTGCTTGCTTGCTGCTGTTGGTGTTGGCTTTGCCGGTTCAGCAGCAGGTAATAGGCTCGAACGCGGGCTGCTCATTGCTATCGCTGAAGAAGCTCACTGCGCGCGGAGTAAAACGTCGGACGTCTTGCCGAACAACGCACCGTACGACCCAAAGACGCATCGGCGAGCTGTACAGGGCAACCACAATAAAAAAAAAAACTGCTTACGCAATAAGTAAGGTTAACGATTGCTTCTTAAAGCAGGACCCTAAATCGTAACGATTTAATCGACTCGCCGTTGGGCTTAATCGTTCCGCTCTGACACAGCATACAGCTTGCTGCCCCCCCCCCCCCCCGCTATTTTATAAGTTGACAGTGATTGACGGCAGCTTCCTGCACTGTCCTCAATGGTCCCATACCAATTTAGGGGGGAATTGTTGGGAGTAGAACATTCGGCGAACAAAACACAGGAAAATGCTGGAGGCGTGTGTGACCGGCCGTGGCCGTGGGCATCCCGGCCCTCTGCTGACCTTGCTGCTCGTTTTTTTGCGTGTTTTGATTTGGTTTTCAAATCGTCCTCTGTCTGTCGAGCGGTGCAGTGTGGGAGCGAGTCCATCTACGCCATCCTCAGGGACCTCAGGGACATGGAGCAGAGAGAGGAGAGGTAGGGGACGGGGCAGCGACGGAGAGAGAGAGTGCACGGCGCGCGGGCATCGACGCGGCGGCGGTGGTGGCAGTGGAGCCGACTTCACGGTCTCACGGCCTCAGCGTCCGCAGAATTAAATGCACGCCGGGTTTGCACTCCGAGCGGATGAAGTTGCCTTCCCCCCCCCCCCCCCAAACTTTGACTAACCGTGTCACTTCGCTGTTGTGAAACATGAATGAATAAGGTGGGTTACAATGTTAAGTGAAGAAAAATATATAAATATTTTGAATGCCTCCGCGCTCAAGTGAGAATTGGGCAGCGCTCTTCTCTGTTGGTGGTCCCGAAGAGGTGGCAGAGCCTCAGCATTCCGCGCACGGGGAGCAGCAGTCTGTCCGTTCGATGACTGTTTTTTTTACAGAGCGGTACTCGCAGCTACCCACCTCGGACGGATGATATGGCCGAGTATTCTCCTGGCCAGGATTTGAACATGCTGAGTTTTTTTTTTCTACGATTGTGTAACCAAATGCGCCGACTGCAATCACTGGCGTCGAAAAGTAAAGTGTTGAAGCAGATGGCAGGGGCAATGGCGTCATGAAATTTGGTTCCCGACCATGGCTAGCCTTGGTGACTTCTGAAACTGGCTATATAGCCCCCCCCCACTTATCGGCAACCTGTGCCAGCCACCGCAGGTCGTTAAGTACTGTACGCTCAAACAACACAGCTTGGGGGAGGCTTTCATCCAGCAGTGGATTGACAATGGAGCTGTACATATATCCGTAAATGACCATAGTGATTTACTCCTCTCTTTTAGTAACGTGTCGATTCATGCGTCGCTTTTCGATGGAGGGTAACACTGCCAAATTCTCGTTTGGGAGCGCATGGGCACTTCGGCTCCGCCGGTTCTGCCGCTGACTTTGACCGTCTGGCTTCGTGTCACGTCCGTCAGGAACGTTGCAATTAATTACTGTTGCGCAACCCCCCTTCACTTCTCGTCAAGGGCATTGCTGCAAGGAGTCAAGATTGTGGTGGTGTCACATGACCTCCCCAACAGGCTTTTTCAGCAGTGGTTCTGGCAGGTATGGGCGTTACATACGGTGCGAAAGAAGTTCAAAATACATACATACATACGCTTGTGTGATCAAGGAGAAATTGGCTTGAATGTCTAAAAGTTCTATAGCCCCCCCCCTCCCCCCCAATCAAGACCACTGGTCCTAGCGCCCCCCTGTCCCCACCTCTGCTATCCCCCCAAGGTTAGTAATGCAAGAATACACATATCACATGTCCATGCCTCTTGTCGACACTGTTTTACCTGCTGTGCCATGAGATCGAAACGGCAACCTTTGAATTGCAAGTGCGCTGTGCTAAACATTAACAGCACTGTGGTAGCATACCTGAAAATTGGAACCGATTGAATTCATGGATTCTCAAGCGTGTCAAAATTAACATCAATACAACTTATTTATCCAGAGAAGCCTCACTTGAAATTAAAGACTTCTTTTCAGGAGGATTTTACATTTGGATATTTGGCCAATTCCAATTAAAAGAGAGCATTTGCTTTTGAGAGGAAACTGGAATGCCCAGAGATATCTCACACGTTCGAGGAAATAGCGCACAAAGATCCGCACAGATGAGTTCGTAAATCCACCTGATGTGCTGCCGTCTGTTGGCCACCGTGTCGCCCAGTGGCTTTAGCGAGTTTCTCATATCCCTGTGATCCGCTTACCCTCCTCGCCTCCGCACCGCTGGTTCACAGGCGAGCGCTAACATTCCTGGCTTATTAATGAATTAACGAATTAATAAAAGGACATTCAGTGTACGGAGAGATTGATGTAGCAGTGATGTAGGAAAATACGAGCTTACTCGTGATATTGGTGAGGTTGACTGCTGGGTTCCACCGTCCGCTTTATATATTTATAGAGAGCACGTACGGAAAGAAAAACACATCTGCAGTGAACTTATACATACGTACATACAATTTTTTTAAAGTCATTGAATGGAAAAGAAAATGTTTCCAGTAGGAGACCTGCTGTCAGAATACGGCTTTCACAATGCAGCTCAGAAGTCCCTTGGGCTACCTGCACGAGCCCATGACCGAATCACCCGGAATGCGCCCGATTGAATTGCCTCTCGGCAGCGAAGCAACGCTCCAGCCTGGATAGGCCTTGGACGGGCGACAACCACGCATAAAATATCTGTTACAGGCTGCGGGCCTACGTGATGGGCAGCAGAGGGCGATGTGGCGAAAACCCATAGTTGTACCGTGCTCTCGCATCTATGCGCCCTGTCTTCACCAACCCGCTGGCTCCAAACTGTTCCACACGCCCTCCCGCTAGGCCTTGTGGAAACCTCAGTGCGTCTTCCCAACCTGAATACGGACCGATAAAGTTATTTTCGTTCTTCTTCCGATTCCCTTCCGGTGACGTAAGTGTACGTCCGTTGCGATGATGTAAGTGTACGTCATCGAAACGGAATCGGAAGGATTAAAACTGACGACGTAGACGTACGTCCTCGGAATGGGAAAGGGTTAATAGGTCCTCACCGACAGTGCTTGTGCCCCTGACAGCCTGGGACACTAAACGGGGAGGTGGTGTCCCTGTGCTCGCGTGAAGGTGCTGAATCTGCCCGCCACGCGACTGGAGGGAGACGGGGAAGCCACTGAGTCCACCGTGAATTTGGCGTCGGAGGCCATCACTCACGTGCTCAAGCTGGGACTGCACTTGCTCCATTCCCCTAAGGTTTGTGTTGGTTTCTAAGGCTGGGGGGGGGGGGTGTAGGGGTGGGGGGGGGTAAGAAAAGCGAACTTCAAAGCTAAAATACACAACACCAAAATAATACCTTGGGGACACAAAGAGAGAGGGGGGGGGGGGGGAGCGACAGGGAGCAATAAGACGAACGTATTCAAACGTAGGAGAAGTTGGAGAAGGTTCAAGGGTAAAGTTTGTAGGGGAGATTAGAGACTTGAGGCAGCTGCTTGGGAAACTGGACATGATGGAGGGGAAGTCTTTCAAACGATGCTGTGAAAAACGGTGACGGCTCGTTCAGCGCCTCGGTTCCCACGGACTTGCACGTTCCCGTTTTGCGTCGAAATTGACAGTGACGTGCGGACCATCGTGTACTTTATGTCATTTGCGGAAAGAATGTTCACGACGGTGCTTGCAGCTTCTGAGGGCTTTTTTGGCACGAGTTTAATTTTCCCCCTCAACAACTGTGACTTAGAGCGCAATACATATGTGTGTGTGTGTATAGTGCAGCGGTTCGCGCCATGTTCTACAAACTCAGGACGCCGATTTCCGCTCACGGCCAACACCAGTGACGATTATCTGAACGGGTTCTGGGCCTCCCCTAGGTCGACTAAGCTTCAAACGGTGCGGTCTGTAAACATCACCACTCGGGAGACAAAGGCGGCCGGGCGGTGGTGCTGGCCACACACCCAGTCGTGTGCCATGCCGGCCTTCATAGGTGCTGCTCGCTAACAGCACAGCCTGTTAAAGGCTGTACGGGGGATCTCTGTCTTTTATATGTGTCGTGTATTTATATTTCGCGCAGCTGTATGTGCACAGCCGTTATTGCCAGGCCGTAAGCAAGCGCTGTTGATGGAGGGCAGGTTTTCCAAAGTCGATAACAAAAACACACGTGGCATCGAGAAAACAAATCGTATTTTCACAATCACGCGTTGACATTTCGGGCGGACAGATCGCTTCCCTGTGCGTTTGCCTCGTCATGTCGTCGGCTGTTTTTTTATTTTGTTTGTGGCTTTCGGTGGAGCTTCATGATGCGAGGAATGAGCAGGAGCCACAGCCAAGGGCGTATAAGTCGGTACAGTTTGGCGTGACTTCGACAGGAAGCGGTGGCCCGGGTCTTCCAAAAATATGTTAAACTTTGCCAAAAAAATGTCAGCGACAAAAAAATTCGTCCATAAAAAAAAGATAAAATCGGTTTCCTCTGCATTATTGAGACAGTGTGACTTCTAAAACAACTCTAAAAAAGAGCATAAAACACCTTAGCTTAGTTGTCATTTTTTCCGACGACTAAAACAAAACTCCCGAGTAATAAAACAAGACTCAGTTCATCACCATCATCGGCTGTGATCTTTCCACTGCTGGATGAAGAAGGCCTTTTTCCATGACTGTTGCAGTCGCCAACCCCTCAGAGTGGCACGACGGCTGCCTCCTGCTCACGAGCCTTATCTAAAATAAATATACTATAACTCGGTTTGCGCACCACATTCTTTCCTCTTTCCCGCGAAAATAACTGACGTCGTCCATTGACCACTGCGACGCTGAAACAGCCAATGGCAAGTGCTCATACCCACTTGTGAAAAACACTTCGAGCCCATCGGGAATGACCTCTCTCCTGCTCCTGGCACGTGGAGGTGAACCAATCACCTTTGTTTTGCGTGCGCCAAATGTTACGTGGAAATCTTGGCACTCGCGCGTGTGTAACGCCGGTGGCGAAAAGACCGCTGGCTTTTCGACTTGCGCGTTCGTTTTTCGCCGTGAGGCAATTTTGGGCGACTCATTACCATCTTCTCATGAAAGTCATCGCCGGCCCGTCACATTGGCAGCCGCTACGTCTTCACCCGTCCGTAGCTAATTCTTCTGCGCGCAGTTCTGGCCCGCAGACTTTTGCTGTGCAGTGTAATTGGTGCACACTTTCCCGGTGCACAGCGGAGATTCCCCCACCATTCATCTCTCGTCTCCCGCCGTGATAGACCGTTTCGTGTTATGGCAGTCGGCCAAATTGTGTCCAAATAGTCAACGAATATCGGTTGGGAGCTTCGACATCACGTCGCGGTCAAATCGCACGAACGCCTTACTCGTGTATGTACGCATGTTGAACTTCTTTCGCACCGTACGTAACCAACCGTCCTAATCGGACGTGCGGGAAGCATGGACGTGATCTGTGTATCCTTGCATTACTAACCTTGGGGGGGGGGGAGGGGAGAGTTAGCACAGAGGTGGGGAAAGGGGAGCACCAGGAGGAGCAGTAGGAGGAGGGAGGGCTGCTATAACAGAAATGTCGAGCCAATTTTTCCCTGCTCACACAAGCATATATATGTTTAACTTTTTTCGCACCGTACGTAGCCAACCACGCTAAGCACAGGTGCTGGGTGGTGCTGTAGTGCACAATACCCCCAATTTAAAGTGCTAACGCTATCACTAACCCCAATCATATCTGGCCACAATTCCAGAGTTATGAATACGCTGATCTCCACGTTAATTACCGCCCTGTAAACTCCAACGCCAATTCTGATAGTCCACAGCAGTGTTTGTACTCATCAGCATTAACAGCCACAAGCCAGTGATGGAAATTCCACATTTTTACAATGGGCGGGAAGGACCAGGATATTCATAACGCGTCCACTTATGGTTTGCTACATGAATAGTTCCAATTTCACCAACCTCATGGGGATGATGGGCGGAGTTGACCCCTGACAGATATTTTAAACTCGTGACCTTCCACTGGTGGGTTGAGGGCTCTGCCACTGCGCCGGTGATTTTGGCCGAGCGTTGTCAAGATTGGCACGGGCATCCCAACTCCCCCCTCCGCAGACACGTCACATTCTGTCGAGAGGGTCGTAATTCTGCCGTGCGTATCAGACAGCGTGCCTCGGCTTATGACGCTTCACCACCACAACCACCATTACAACAACAACAGAGCAGATCGTATCCCAGACGCTCAGAGTTGATTTAAAAAGTAAGGCAACTGCAAAGTATTGTGCAGATTTGACAAACGAGCGTGGAGAGCACCGATGAAAGAATGTGAATTCTAAACTTGGTGCCGCTAACGAGAGCACTAAAGTCGTTTTTATTTAGATTTTGATATATATATTTTACTGTACAAATGTTTGAAACTTAAACTAAATTAGAGCAGGATGGATCCAAAGTTAAAATCCAAGTTTGAGTGGGGAGGGGTAAACTCAGCCCATCATCATAATCAACACCATCATCATCCGTCCCAGACCGATAAAATTGATCACTGCTTTTTTTTGGAAGCCCCGTATCCACAGTGATTGTCTCCTGCCCCCCAGAAGTAGAAATTCTGACATTTTCACCACGGGCAAAGGGTCCCCCAATGGGGGAGAAGCAGCAGCGCTTTCCTCTCGACGGGGCGAGCAAGGGCAGGGGTAAGAGACGGCGCTTCAACTCCGAAGGCCGCACGCGTCCCCCCGGCCCACGCGGCCGCTCGCGAGAAACTTCCTTCTCGGGAAAGGCAGGGTGGGGGGGGTGTGATGAATTGGCCGCCGAAATTAAACCTGCCGCGCTTGTGCATGTGGACGTGGCGCGAGAGCCTCTCGCTCTCACGGGATGGACTCACTCGGCCACATCTGTTGGCCGTAACGAAACGAGCGGGGCGGCGCGACATCGAACCGCGGGGTTCCGCTGGTGCTGCACATCCGGTCGGTCGGTCGGTCGCACGGACGAACGGACGGCCGCTCATTAAGCTCGAGCGCCGCATGTGGCAGCGATTACTATTTGCGCCGATCGTTAATATTCGTACAGACGAATGGGGGACGGGGCCATTGCCCGAAACGTTGCACAGGGTATAAAGGGTTTACATTAGAAAATGTTTTTATATATTTTTGAGGCAATGCTCAATAGTGTTGTTGTTAATGGCATAGAGTTTTTTTTCTTGTGTTAGTCGTACTTACGAGCCGCTACCAACGCGGCAGCGGCGTCAACAAAGACATTATTAATACGAATATCGTCGTTTCCCCGTGACGCTCGCTCTAAGGTTTCTCTTCGTGAGCCAGGATCCTTTATTTAACTCGGAGATAGAAGAAAAATACACCGGTTGAGATGCCGCGTAAAACGATGCCTCCTTAGCAAAGGCGACCGGGTTACATGCCGCGCCGTTTTAGGTGCACAACATACTTTGAAAACATTCCTAAATTCAAGATCTAACTTAGGGGACGTTACTGAGTAGAGGCTGGTGAAATCCACAATTCTCAAGTGAGCATAAACTAGCAAACAAGTGATTGCATGCTCGAAATTATATATATAAAAATAAAGACTTTAGTAACCCTTGGCTGGAGCCCAGCATGTGGTGGTGGCGGTGGTGGGGTCCGTGACAAAATAAGGAACGTATATTATGTTGCTCTCGCAAATTAAAATCATTAATACGAGCCAAACGAGATTACGCCACTTCAGACTGAATTTGTGAAATAAGCACATTTAAGTTATATATACACGCACCATAAAACGTGTCTAATATGCACGTTTTGTGTGAAATGCGTCATAGAGGAGAACGGCCCCGAGACGCACATGGGACCCAGCGTGCTCATTTGGGGCATCGTCTGCCGTCTGCCCCGCGTGCACGTGCGTTCGCGTGTGCGTGCGAGCGCGTGTGCGTGCGAGCGTGTGTGAATGCGTTCGCGTATGCGTGCGAGCGCGCGGTGCGGTCGGGTGGAGGGGTGCGGTTACGGAGACCGCGTTGGCATTGTTGGCAAACACGGGCACCATAGCCCCGATGACGGCGCTGCTTCACCCGGTGCCTCGCACCGCGGGTTCATAGTCGCCCTGCGATCGGAGCGATTGACACGGCGTCAAGAACGTTCGTCCCATGGCGTAGCTGTCGGGCGTCCCAGCGGTCCAACTGCACCGGGGGAGGGGAGGGGGCTGAGTGCCGGGCTACGAAGAGTTGGGTGATTGGACAGGGAGCCATGCCAACCGCGACCATGCTGAAGGGAAAATGTACCTTCCGTACCAACAGCCAGATCGGTGGCGTTCAAGTAACTGCTTTTAAATTTCTAACAGAATCATAATAATATTATTTTTTTCCTGGAGGAATCTGATGAGCTATAAAGCTCTTTTTCACAGATGTCCAGTTAGTGCTCATGGCTTTTTGAATTCAATTATAATAGCTTGGTTGCACACTGGAACAGTGTCCCGGAGAGTATGAGCACCATTGATGAGATTTTAAGTAAAAAAAAAGTTATTTGAATTATTATTTTTATAGTGTATATGTTGTTTGTCTCTTCAGTGTGATTTTTAAATATGTGAGTGTTAGTTTTAATGTTATGTCAGAAACACTTAAGTTTGTGCTCTCCAGTTGCCTGGGTGAAAAGTGGACTATTCCTGGCCAGCTGGATCAAAAACGTGATAAACAAACACACGCCGCTGAATTTGCACGGTATTCTTGATGGGTCCCTGCCATGGAAACGTGGAATTGCTTGCATCAGCATTCCGACCAAAATCGCGTTTGAGCAAGAAGAAGACACCCTGATGTCACGTTGAATTCTTTCGAAGTAGTACCAATTTTATCCATCCCCGAAGGGAAGATGGGCTAAGTCGAGCTTCCAAGCGGGAGTTGAGCACTCTGCCTGCCACAGCATCGTGTGACAAAATTGCTCGTGTTTCGTGTCCTTCGTATTTTATTTCGGATTATTATAAAACTTGATAGGCTGGAGCGGTTGGTTCGAGAGTGCGCGACTTTGCGATCGAAAGGTTCGGAAATTAACTCCCATTCAGGGGGTCAATTCAGCTCCTCTTCCCTCGGGGTTGATAAAAATGATTACCGCGTTGTGGGAAGCCAATCGTAATTATCCTGCAGAGAGACTGGCCCCTTACCCTCAAGAATGTGGTCCCCGGGGCGACTAACGGAATTGGAGCACCGCTCCAATTCTCATTCAAGCAGCCGGCGCTGACTTTGAATTTAACAGTTCTCCTGCAGTTTAAGAGCAGAATGCTGCAAGCGGAATGTTTTCCCCTGCTCCCCCCCGCCCCATTATAATGGCGCAATGTGAATGTAGCAACAAGAATACTGACTCTGACATTGATATTACTCTCGTCCAATCTGAGCTATTCCACGAATTGCGTTGGCCCCCGGTGTGTTTTCACCGACACGCTCACCGCACGCTCAGCCACATCTGCACACACTCACCCGTGTTCTAACCGATGCACTCACCCACAAAATTGCATGTACGCTCACCTCCGCAAACTTACACGGAGCCCATGACCTAACCTATGTACTCGACGATTACAACAACAAAATCCATTCATTCGCCACTGAGTGACGGTGACATCACCGCAGTGCATGTGCCAGGCTAGGTGCAGTCTATTCTGGCACAGGTACGTGAAGTGTCGAAGGCCCGCTGGCAGATGATGGGACAAGCGCAGGTAATATGGGTTGATTGACAGAGATGACTGGCAGATGCGCCACCTGTGCTCCCCACTGTGCTAACTCGCTGTGTTTCAGTCACCCGGTGCCCCACTCGTTGTTGTGGGCGTCACTCCTCCGCCCTCCGTTGTGGCTGGAGGGTGATCGACATTTCAACTACACACTCACTCCAAGTGCACACTCAAACATGCGCTCAGTCACTCATCATTGTTCATTTTATACGGCGAGAGTGCACTCACTCTTTGGCTGACCAGGGACTCTATCGGCAACTATGTGCTGATGTGCATTGTGTACGTGCCAGTGGGGGGTAGTGGTAGTGCAGGAGTTAAGCGCAACCGCACTACGAACCCGGCGACCCGAGTTCGATTCCCGCTCACGATCAATAACAGCGGCGAACATTTGAACCAGACCTGGGCCTCCTCTAGGTCGAGTCACCCACCGTCCTGGTGTGCCGTGCCGGCCTTCATAAGTGCTCGCTAACGGCAGTTTGGGGGGGGGGGGGCGGTACTTTGTCTTTTGCCTCTGTGCACGTGCCAGGTGAGCATGCGTCAGGCACTGGAGAGCGTGCGGGAGAGACACCCGGAACTTCTGCTGCCGCAGGACACGCTGGCGCACCTACTCCACTGTCACGGGCTGCTCACCCCAGCGGAATTCCTCACCGCCTACGATCGCCCCTTCAATCTCACCCTGGACTCTGGTAAGAGTCCACTCCACGCTCTCTCCAACTCTCCGCTGTCTCCGTCTCCATCTCTCTCTGTCTGCACCAACAGGGAATTATTGGACGAGATTTACCAAAGATGAGAAGTTACCCACAGTTTACTCAATCGGGATTGTTGGTAGCAATCATCGCGCACCCCGCTACTGCGAAGAACGGGGCAGGACTCTCCGGAAAAAGAGTCATAAGACTCAGTGAGGCTTTCCTGGACAAACAAGCGAAGTACGTAATAATAATAATCATGACAGTTCAGCAATTGGCTGATTTACAGGAATAAAGAAATGCAGATGGTATGTATGTAAGTTAAACGTCTTCGCAACGTACGTAGCCAACCGTGATAATCGGAGGCACAGATGTCCAGTTGTTGTCGCTGTAAACGCGCTGGTGGTCAATTGACGACACATCTCTCTTGATTCATTGCCCTGCCCTTGGCCCACTCAGTAGCTCAGTCTCATTCCCCACCACACTCACTCCTCAATTGCCCCCGTCGTGTACCAGAAGGTGACGACCAGGCATGTAACAATTAGTAAATTAATCAACACAAAATGGGATTGTTGTGCTGTATCAGACTGTGAGTGGCGTGGTAACTGGGCAGTGGTGGATCTGCACGTGGCCTGTAAACCATCGCACAAAAGCTGTGAAACTCCCATCCCATGGGCGTCGAGGAGGAGCCGTACCCTGGCTCACCAGGCAAAGGCGGGACAGCAAGTGGACTAATCGCCATCTGTTTACATCTGTACAGGGATCGAGTGTTGCGCCCTTGCATGTGTGGGTTTTCATTGGGGGGGGGGGGGGCTCTGATTTCCTCCCACTTGGATAAACACTCATCGTTAATTGGCTGAAAACGTCTTAAAAGTGTAAAAGACCCAATGCGAAGATCCGCATGAAAAAAATTCCTACGACCTGGTGGAGACTCTCCCGGACAGTCAGTGAATGAGTACGAAACAATTTCGTTCATATTTTTCAACGTTTACATTGTGAAAATCAAATGCGTCCTTGTCCAGCAGGCGAACCGTCTGAATGAATGAGACCAACCGAGAGGGTTACAAACAAGGCAGACGGTGCAACTTGGAACGGACACCATAGAGTGGACACGCGATACACACAGCACGGGGCCAGGCGGTGCAGAATGAATCGGTGGACAGAACAGAAACGCGGATAGTACGAATTAGACGGAACAAACGAGGCAAATTTATGATAAAATTTAATTTAAAATCCGATTGGGACAGTTCATGAAGCCGCATAAGGAATCACTTATTGTGCGCCTTTCAGCGAGCGGGGAGTGGCTCATGTGCCAAGCGGAGAGCCCCTTTCCCGTTTACTCGCTACTGGGGTACGGCGTGACGGTGGGGACGGCCTGGCGGTGGGGCCGGGGTGGCGGTGGGGCCGGGGTGGCAGTGGGGGCGACCTCTCTTATGCAAACACAAGCGGGGCCGTTGTTAAACTGTGAAATGCTTCACGAAGTTTCGGGCTCATTTCTTTTTAATGTAAAAAAAAAACATTTTTTACACATATATATGCGAACTATTATATATATTTTTTTTACGGAAAAAGCCAAAACAATTTTTTTTTAAGTATAAAAAAAATAGTTGATATGATTGGCTGGGCTAAGAGCAGTGACGGGTGCAGTCGTCCGTGCACTGTGCTGTGAACCCGTTGACTTGAGTTTAATTCTTGGCCATGGCTAACATCAGCGACGCACGATATCCGACACACTTCTTGGCGCCCTTTCTCTTCTGGCGGCATGGTCCACATTCACCGAGTAAAGGAAAAATAATTGACCGCAAGTTACTCGATTGGAATACACGTATAAATTACCGTCCACGACTGCAAAAACATGATGAATCCTCCTGATAAAGAGTCAGTGAATTATGATGCGGCGGTGGCATCACCACCACAACAATGTCACTGGAGTGCCACGGCCGCGCGCTTGACAGTGATTTTGAAGTTCTTCTTCTGCTTCATCTTCTCCTTCGTCTCCTCCGACGTCTTCTCCTTCATCCTTCATCTTCTTCGTTTTGCTCCTTCATCCCCTCCTTCATCCCCTCCTTCATCCCCTCCTTCGTCTGCTTCAGCAGCCCAGGGCACGTAGCCTGGTGCGCATGTCTACGAGAAAAGGGCTGCTTGACTTTTTTTTTCAGGATCACGTTTATAGAGGTGGCGTAACGGGGTGCAGCGCACTCACCTGCTGACCCCGCCCCTCACTGGAGGTCTGTGAAAAAGAGCTTCATAGCTCATCGGATTCCTCCTGCAGTCTGAATAAAGATTCTGATCCTGGACTTAAATCTCTCTGCGTGCCAGTTGAAACGATGGGGGGCAGGCGTCTTAAACCCCCCCCCCCACACACTCCCCACCCCCCTCCATCCCCCATCCACCGCCCCTCCCACAGAGTTGGTGTGGCCGGCGCCACAGAGCATGACATCGACGATGGAAATCGACGAGGGCCAGAAAGGAGAAACTTTAAGCAGCTGAGCGAGCCGTGCGGTGGTTTGCACCTGCCCCCAACCAACCCCGCCGGTGTGAAACATGCGCACACACGCGCACACGCACCCAACCCACGCATTACACAAAAAGATCCCCCATGTAGCCTTAACAGACTGTTGGGGCAAGTGCTGTTAGCGGGCACCTATGAAGGACGGCATGGCACACGAGGGGGTGGATGGCCAGCACCGCACCCGGCCACTTTTGTCTCCCCAGTGGCGATGTTTACACACCGCACCAGGTACTCATTTGAGGCTGAATCGACCGAGTGGAGACCCAGAACCGGTTCAGATAATTGTCACCGGTGTCGGCCGTGAGCGGGAATCGAACTCGAGTTGTCGGGTTCGTAGCGCAGCGTCCTAACCGTTACACTGCCGCTTCCCACGCGCATGCACACTTACACACGTGCGCACGCACCCAACCCACGCATAACGCACACAGACACACACACACATTTGGCCTACTATTTCCAGGCTTCAGACTGAGCAAGTGAGGTTCCAAAAAAAAAACTTTATTTCCGTCGCTGGGAATGCACGCAAAAGGAATTTTCGATGTCAATGTTTGTGCGCCTCTTCGAATCTTTTTGCTTGTTTTCCCCGCCAACGTGCGAGGCAAATAAAAAGCGGCCCGCATTCCTTCTTCGGGCTTCATTAAAAGCAGCCCAACGTGAATTGATGGCTTCACAGTGTCAAATTGCGCTATCTCACTTCGCATCGAGTCGCCGGGGCAGATTAATTGGTGTGTTTTAATTTAAATTTTAAGCGGGAGGGGTGGCTCATGAGCCAGGGGGGGGGGGGAGTCGTGCGGGGGAATGGTGGGAGGGGGGTGGCCGCTGGACCGCTGCGTCGCTTTCTCAGAGCGAACGTCAATGGGCCTGAGCAGGAGCGGCGGCACTCTGGGAGACCGGCTTAGCCGCCGCGTTGGCGGACAATTCGGGCGTGATGCAGGATCGTCGTGAACAGGCTGTGGATGGGAGGAGAGATGTTGAGGTGGGGGGAGGGGTGGTTGCAGTGTAGCTTTGTGACATCAGCCAGGATGCGAGTGTCGGGAGGGCTGAAGCAAGGCGAGTGCGGGGAGGGGAGAATCAATGAAGCGTATAGAAGTATAGAAACATAGAAACGTTGCCATCCGCAACAGAGAAACGTCGACACAGAGAAGCATATCTCTATAGGTAGACGCGTACAGAGAAACGGTGAGAAGGACGCAAAGGAACATAGATGGAAAGATACGCGCAGAGACACGGAGCGGTAAGAATGACAGAGAAACATAGACGGAGCCAGGCGCAGCGAAACATACGTAGGACACAGAAAGACACGCGCGGAGAATGCGCCGGCAGACACAGACAGAGCCGTGGTTGAACGTCCAGCGGACGTCGGGGCCTGGCCCAACTGGGCTGGCGGCGTAGACGAACCGAGCAGCGCCGTTGCCGCGGACGATCTCCAAACGAGGCCCGAGCGCGGGGCATCACCACGATGTCACGTTTGCTGTGTGCTTGTTATGTATTGTCGTCTCATCTGTTGCGTGTATCGTAGGGTGGATGGCTCCAGCACCCGGGCCACCACCAGCAGTACCGGAGGTCTCTGCAGCTGGGATTTCCCTCTTCAGTCACCGGCCAGCCAAACCCTGCCCTCAGCCTGCCCTCAGCCTGCCCTCAGCCTGCCCACAGCCTGCCCTCAGCCTGCCCACAGCCTACCCTCAGCCTGACCACAGCCTACCCTCAGCCTGCCCACAGCCTACCCTCAGCCTAACCAAATCTTGCCCTCAGCCTGCCGATGGATCTTGCATGGTGCATAGAGGCTGGGTGCTCTTTACACGTGTCCATGTTGTTGGAAACTAACGATTTTTCCGGCCTGCGGTCTTATTCCATTACAGGGGGGGTTGGGGAGTCCTCTCATCATTTGACGACTGCCCTCAGCCTGCCCCCCACGTGATAGCGTGACATCACAGACCCCGCCAGCCTGGAAATAGGCGCCCACTCTCCCAGAGGAGTGACCACCCAGAGGCGGCTGTCTGCTCCACGTGTGGGGGGTTTGGTTTTCCAGAGATGGGCAGTGTCTCTGAATTACGTGTGATTCAAACAATGCCACTTTAATTATACTTGTAATTTTTCAATCGCTTTCGAAATTACATCAAAGTAATTAGTATTCTGCATCTAAACTAATTGGTAATTTGTATTACGTGAATATTTCATGACATTTCCTCCGGTAATGTGTAATTTGAATGTATTCTGCCCATCTAAGGGTTATGTAAACACGGCTATAGGGACAGAATCCAACCGTGCCCCCTCCCTTCCTGCTGGAGATGCCGAGAGTCCATGGGCCGGAGCAGAAATTGGTACCACCTAAAGTAGCAGAACACACGTAGTCGCGATGCGATTGGACAGCGAGGAGTTGGAACCTGCGAAAGCTACGCCACATTGGGTGGTCGCCACATGGAACATGATCAGGGCTGTGGCTCATGGACGAGAAGGGGCACACAAACTAGAGTCTTTGTTTTTCAACAGGTAAAGCCCACTGAGCTGTATAGCTCTTTTTCAGATGCGACCTGGCCACAAATGATAGTTCAACGGAGTGGAAATGTATAGCTGCCAAATGCTCTAAACCCGTATGTCTAAATGTGGAGGGGAAAACCAGAGGACTCGAAGAGAAAAACATCCAGGCGACCACGGGGAGAGAGAAATGCAAACTCCAAAAGTGTCGGGGTCGGGATCAAACCCACGACCTCCTGTATACCGGGTGAAGTAGTTAACATCTCGCCACCACGGCACCCCAAACACTTGCACTGTGCACCGTGTACGTGCATGCTGGTACCACTGCACACACGCACACACGCGTTGTAGTAAAGAGTTATAATTGAATAACAGGGCTATAACTTAGAAGGGGGCGGTAGCTGGCCAACAAAAACAATCTGGGGGTGGTTGGGGGGGGTCCAGGAAGGGCAGAGGGGGGCCCTATTGTGGGTTCAAATATTTTATGCTCCGTCGCCTTTGCTCCTTAATGACTTTAAAAACAAAAGTACGTAAATTTACAAAAGTATAATAGTCCTCTGTTTACAAACGAAAGCCTCGCTGAGTCCCAAGACTGTTTTTTGGAGAGTTCTTGAATTTTCTGCACGACCAAATTCATATTGTTTTATATATTTTATTATTTTATTGTTTCCCTTCAACGTGACTTTACCGAAAGAGCTAAGAATATGAATTACTGCAGTCACGAAAGCTTTAAATCAAAATTTAGACCAAATTCATGTTAATACTGAACATACATGATGCACACATTGCTTTTCTAACCCCTATACGCATGCGTACGTGCAAACTATAAATATGTATGAATACCCACCACATTTATATAAACGGGAAATGTTATCGTTTTCATAAGAGACACAGACCACTGACAGTCCGTTTTTTTTACAATTCTAAAAGCACTTTACATCATATTGGTTATCAATGAACATCAGGCACTCATCTATTTTCGGGTCAAAAACATTTTGTGGAAAGCTAACAGTGGCCGTCCTACGGATAGACTGGTTCCCGTCATGGGCACGTGGCGTTTCCACCGCATGGCTCAGCAACCACCATTTGGCGGTAAGTAACAACCCTGTGCCCACGTGCTTGCTTTTTCTTAAATTACTAATCGACGGCCATGTACCGACGGACACTATGAGTGGGCCGAATGCCAGCGGGAAAATCACGCCGAGCCCTTGAACCCTCCCCTCATCCACCAACCCTCGCCTGGTACGCAGGCGCACGTGGGTTCGATCCCCAACCCTGACGCCTCTCTCGCCCCGTTGTTTGCGTGGATTTTTATCCGGGGTCCTCCGGTTTTCCCTCCACACATTAGAATCAACGTGCGTTTAGAATATTTGCTATAAATGTGCACGTAATCAGCCACTTCGTTGAGCTATCATTTGCGGCCAGGTCGCTTCTGAAAAACAGCTGTATAACTCAGTGGGCCTCACTTGGTAAAATAAAAACATAGTTTGTTTATCGGATGTGTCGAGGCGCGGTTTGATGAGACGTCACGTGTCTCGGAACCTCGGGTACAAATTAAAATCAACGCACGCGAACGACGCTCGACCACGGATCGCCGATCTCGCCAAGAAGCACAGACCACCGGGCAAACTCCGGTCATCCTCGCAGGCATCGGCTTTTGGGTGACCATCTGAACAAAGACTGTCACTGCATCGCGCGCTTTCAGGTGCCCTGCGGAACATCTGGAACGCTCCTCCCATATTAGGAAGCCACTGGAGCTAGGCACCTTTTAATATAAATTGAAAACCAATTTCATTAGGGGCTGCGTTATTTTTTTGGTTTATTGTCCTACCTCCAATGAGCACGGTTGGCTGCGTACGGTGTGAAAAAGTTCACACCGTACGTACGTGGTCTTTAACCGCGCACGGCAATCTCCGTATGCCCCCGTATCTATCCTCGACCAGAGCTCCCGAAGGCGCCGTTCGAACACACGAATGCATCGCGAGCCCTCGTAGCGGGGGGGGGGGGGGGGGCACCTGCAAAAAAACCGTCGGCCTCGCTGTTACGGAGCCCTCACGTGGAGCTTTGCCTACGACGGCGAGGGTGGGCGTCGGCCGCGCTGGAAGAGGACGCGTAATCAGTTTAGACGCGTATGTATCCATAATAGAGGGTTTTTTTGGGTTACATCGCGTAAATATATAAATGTTGTGTCGTTAAAACCCGCTACCACCCGACATAGCCACCTAGTACGGGTTGTCACGTAAACATAACGTGGCCAATTCGTCACTAGTACGTGAGCGCGCCTGTGTGTTGGAGAGCCAAGCCACGACATTTACAATCTGATTGATATATTTACGCGATCTAACCCAAAAAAATCTCTACTATGGATATTGGTCGCGAAAGCCTGCTGCGTGTTAAACTGACGTGTTCGTTTCGTAACTGCAGGGATTCATCTTCTTGGTTATTTCGGTAAAGTCACGTAGAATGGAAATAAAATAATAAAAATAAAACATAATAATAAAAAAATTAAAAATATGTTTTTTATTGTTTTATGTTTATTATTTTATTTCCATTCTACGTGACTTTACCGAAATAGCCAAGAAGATGACGTGTTCGTGTTTCAAACAAACAAAAAACACACCAACCAACCCCACGTATTATCCGTGATGCGCCATCTCGAGCCGTTCGCTCTCTCGTCTTCTGGGCGCAAGCGTTCCGCAATCAAACGCCGTTTCCACCGGTCCCCCCTTTTACAAAAACAAATCGGCGGAGCGTGCGACGCGATTTGTGTCCGCCACGAGGGCTTGGTGTCGTCCCCCGGCACGTGGCGAGCCGTCGGGTGAGCTCCCTTTCATGTTGGTCTACAAGCCTCCGGCGAAGCGGCGCAGAGACCGCGTGGCCGTCCTTCCAACTTAGCAGGGCAACGTTAATTCACCACCACCACACCACCCGCCAATCCTCACAGCGAAGGATAAAGGAGCGGCCCTGCAATGGCGCATCCCGCGCCACTTGTTGGCGGAAGATGGGGCCTCCACTCGGCGGCAGCCTTCTTGAGAGAGCACATTTCTAGCAGGAAACTTGGCCTACTCTGACCTCGCTGGCCACGTGCAATAGCCGGGCGGTGGTGGCTATTGCACGTGGCCTGTAATCCAGCACGGGTGGAGGTGAGGTTTGGTGGATCGGACAGATGGTTGTGAAACTCTCTTCCCGTGGGCTGGAGGGGGTGACGGGGCCCTCATCCACGTGGGGGTTTCTGCGCGCTGCTTCGGTTTTCCTCCCACGTGAATAATAAGCGCGCGTTCAACAACTGCTGAGAAAGAGTCACGCGACTCAGCGTGGCGTTTCTCGGTGGGGGTGGATTTAAGAAACCCGCAACCCCAATGTGTCGACTGTCACGCCGGGAGTTCGAATTGAAGCGGTCGACCTCTGGATCGGAAGCCACAGTCGCTGCTGCTGCTGCTGCTGCTCGCCGTCACTCCGCTGCGATGTGGCAGCGTCCGCTCCCGACAGGGAGAGCGGCTGGCGCGTGGGTGGAGTGCGTTGCCCTGCGCGTGGCCGTGCCCGCCGCTCGGACACCCGTCATTCTATGGGATTACGATTCACACGCAGACACACCGAGAGAAACAAATACACATAGAAAGAAACATACGTTGGGAGAAAAACCGAAGAGTGCGGAGAGATGCACGCCCGGGATTACGCTGAGAGACGGAGAGAGTAACACCGGTTAGAGAAGTCAAACGCTCGGGCTGCCGGGTTCATAGCGCAGCGCGCTAACCGCTACACTACCGCTCCCCTTGGTCAAACACACACACACACTTACCCTGTCATACATACACTCACTTGAAACTCTTGAGAAACGTGAGTGGGCTTGGGCAGGACGAGTCGCTGGAAACGACGATGGCCAAGGAATGGAATGTGTCCAAGAGGGCATCTACCGAGGAGATGGAGCGATGAAATCAGCTCTTGTGCAGGTGCCGAGTGGCTTGTTAGATCGCAGGGCCCTGAGATATGATGATGACTTAGAGGGGCCTTCATCCAGCAGTGAGTTGACCATGGCTGACGACGACAAGGACAGTGTATCCTTGCTCAAACGAGCATTGAGTGGCGCTCATTGTCATTTGTGACCCTCAGCCGTTGGCGAGATTCCACATTCCTGTGGCAGAGGCCAGGCCCTCCATAGAACAACCACTGATGAGGGTCCCGCAAAGTGGTACCCTATTTTATGGTCTCTGGAGAGATGATGGATTGATTCAACCCCCAACCAAGAGTAGAACTTGGAACGTTCTGACAGGTAGATTGAAAACGAATTTCTTTACAATGCTTTTTGTGTTCAGTTTGTTGGCATTCCCCCCGCACCGCTGATTAGCGCGGTATGGCAACGTACGGTGCGAAAGAAGTCCAACGTACGTACATAGTCAATTGCTCAGCCACTGTGCATATACAGCTGGGGGTACTTTTGGTATTATTGTGCAGCCCTTAGTCAATCCACGGTAATAGCAGCGCAGAGCCAGACCAACGCAACATTGAACACGGACATCATTTAGACTTTTATAGTCTCCAAGCATTCCAGCATGACAATGAAACCCAGTTCATTGCCGTGTTTCATATACAGTGAGGGAAAAAAGTATTTGATCCCCTGCTGATTTTGTACGTTTGCCCACTGACAAATGATTAGTCTATAATGTTAATGGTAGGTTTATTTGAACAGTGAGAGACAGAATAACAACAAACA